ATGATACCGAGCTATATAATTGGTAACACAGAAATTTAATTTTCACACTATACTACGTCTATGACATTTGATGTTATTTCATATGAACTTATGTCAGTTTATATTTATTATTCATGAATACTTGTCTCAACTCTATTCTTGAATGAACGAAACTCGCATCACAATCTTGTAGTGGAAATTTTCACATCCGCAATGGAAACCTTACATTATGTCATAGAAAACTATCACTTTGAGTTAAAAATACAAAACTTGTACTGATCAACGAAAACGTATTTTTTATGTGATATTGTGAATTTTGTTGAATGAATGATTGTGTTTGGGTTTGCATCGAGTATAGATCCTCTTCCACATTCGTCGTAAAGGCATTTATGTCAAAATAATTAACAAAGTGTGTATGAGTGATGGTAAGAGTGATAATGCCGTGGTAGTCTAATGGTTTGACCTACCACCTCTTAAGCAGAAGCCGTGGGTTCGAATCCGAGCACACACCTGTGACATTATCGGAATTTATGTGCGAAATTTAAATTGAAATACCATAAGCTTTTTGGTAACGGAAAACATTGTGACGAAAAGTGCACGTCGAAGAAGGTTCACAAGCCTCGGAAAACGTGTGAAGAAGTGAAGAAGTGGAATATGGCATGAACCCTCGCTTGAAAGGAGACCCGTGCCCAGCAGTGATACGTATAAATGGGTTGATGATGATGATGAAAATGATAATTAACGATGTAAAAGTAACACATCAAACGTACATGAGAAGCTACGAAAGAAACCGCTGAATATTGGAGCAAGAAGCAAATCTTTAAGATCGCTATTAAAGAGATGGCGAAATAAGTATCTTTTGTGAGTATGATTAATACAAGCTTATCTCTTTCTTAGTAGACGAACAACATAAAATAAGCTGACAGCGCACAGTACAGCAATCTTTATTACACCATAATGTGTCATAAAATTCGAAACAGTAATGATACTTTGTTATATACTTCTGCGGTAATTACGAATCTGAATCTTTCAAACCATTACTCAACAGATCTCACAAAATACAAAAGATAAATCATAGGTACCGCTAATATATTGAACAAGAAAGGTACGAAGACCACGAGCGCCATACAACGTACGAGGTAATATACAGCAAAATGGTGGCAATTTGTGTGAAGCTATTTTCTTGTCATGACGGGTATTTAATGTTACACATTCTTGTAAAAAAGCTTTTTTATTCTTACCAATATGTGACGTTAGTTAACGTGAAGCTTGAAAGTACAGCAATAGTTTTAACTTCGCCTTTTCTATAAACTCTAAAAACAATTAAACGGCCATGTACTTATTTCCATAATTGTTTAGGCTCACAAGTCAATAAATCAAAGATATTAGAAAGTATAGAAATGATCACTGGAATCCGATGAATAGAATTTAATGTAGGTTTGTAGCTTGAAACTTGTTTAATTTGCTTCCTAGAACTGGAATTAAGATATTTAGACCATTCATCAAGACAATTTGAGCTGTTTATTACAGAGCTACAATAACTAAATAAAGCTTGCGTAAGAACATGAATTAAAGCACCTATATTATATAACATCACCACGTCCGTGTATTCAGCCAAGTTTAGCATAAAACGTTACACGTCTTTGCGTTGTTTAATTACACGAAACAGATGGGAACATTTAAAGCCAAACGAGCAGACCATCGCAAAGCGTCTAGATTCTAAACTGCAATTTATATGATGTAAGTTGAGAAATTTTCACGATATTTCAGAAGCGCTCCAGCGAATATGCTTTCTTGGACCATCTTTGTCTTGGACAAATGACACTAATTTATTTAAACGATATTATTTCTAACGGACTTTCCCGACACCCCCCTTGTAAGATGAGACTTGACGCTCGTTATTTATTTTAGACCCTTTATTAAATCACTTTCTTCGGAGACGATGGAAATACCGAGTTTTAAAGATTTCGCATTTCTATTTTTGGACGGTGAAACATAAACATTTAATAAATCTCCTGATTTAGAAATGACAAGCCTTGACGTATTTCATGCAAATGTGGGCTATTTATGATACTTTTCATAATAAAATTACAATTCATATCGTTTGATATTCCTATTTCTGGCTAGGTCTTCATTGAATCATTTACTTCAGTCAAGTTGTTAATGCAGTTAATTACAATTTGTAGCTATACAATGACAGCCGCTAAATCTTGTCTGAGGTGCTATGTCAAATATTATATTTTTTTAAATACTGCACACGATTTTGGCTTTATTTTGATTCCTTAATAAACAAGTACAATGCCTAATAATGTTATAGTCAAGCTAAGGATATGGGAAAGCTCAACAATGGCTTGGCTCTTTAGGCAATAATGCTACATAAGACAACAAACTACTGCCAACAATGTAAAAACTCAGAACCTGTGTTTGTTTCTCATCTAGCTTTCTTGCCAAAACCATTCCATTGCAGTAGAAAAAATAAAACAATGCTTCCACACGACTCTGCAGTTACTTCATACTGACCTATATTTTAAAATCGGATTTCAACCATTGCCAACAAACTCCACGAATCGCATTAATATTTTCAATAAAGACTTTTGTGCAAAAATGTATATTAAATTATGCTCTCCCTTTCGAAGGTTGAATACAATGTGAAATTTTCTGTTAGGTACTGTCATTGAAGATCGAAAGATTATTCGCTTTTCGAGATTCCATTATGGTTCATCGAAATCTTATTTAAAGCTCCTTTCAGCAATTTTTAAAATTAATTTGGCTATTGATGCTTAGTTTTGGTGTCTCGAACCTCTTATACCTATTTAAAAAATACTCTGTAATACTGCGAAATACAACGAAATAACGTTAGCAATCCTATTTCTTTCAATTCGGGTTGTTCCGAACTAGTAATTTAGTTAGGGACAATGCAATTTAGTGTAGTCCCGTACACACGATACTGAGTCACTGTTGGACTTACCGACTTACCTCTATGTATGTGGCCGCAGTTGGACTTACGGCCAAATTAATGGATGGCCGAGTGGGATTCTCCCGTTAGATTGCGAAGATTCGCTCCCCGGAACACGTGAAGAATTAAGAAAATCCTAAGAAAGAAATTTCCTTTTAGTTGCATTTTTAAAAATTAAGCAAAATGGTTGTCGTAGGTAAGTAAACTTATATTTATATCTTCCAAAATAAAATTTTCCATCCAAATGACAAAAAAGTACTCAACATTAAAAACAAAATTCAATATTTTTTTTTACAGATTTTGTCGCAACATAGCTAAGGTACGCCTCTTAATGAAACGGTGGTAAAAACGTTAGATCTTCTTGGTTCTAGTTTTCTTTTACTGTCGAGACTGTCACTTTTCGACTCTCCTCATTGTGGCCGGTGCTGGAGGAATCATGTACCTCTTATATTCTACCAGAAAGAGTAGTGTTTACGCGCACTACCCGGAGGGAAACGATTTACAAAAATCACTATGCAGATGTGTGTCATGATGTATGATAATATAAAGAGAAATGTTGTCATACAGTATATCGAATGTGTCTTAAAATAATAATATGTAACACAATATGTTTTTGAATCAAATTATAACAACACTAGTTAAAATGGTTTCTAAGTTTGTTTCTTGATGACACTAACCCTAAAATATGCGATTTCTGAATCGCGGAGATTTTCCAAAATTGAATGACTTCTCATGAGTATTTTATATTAAAGTGATTCAAGTTATTATATCTTCAGTTTAGGATGTATCTTGAACCCACGCCCATTATTTGAGAGAGGTAGCAAGGACGCCTAATTGTAAGTCTTGTCGCAAATTCACGCTCACCCGGGATATGACGCGGAATCAACTCCACGATTGCGTCCCACGGGACGGCCCTTAAGTACAATTGTAACAAAATTGTGTAAGGTGGGACACCGCCAAGTTTCCTTATTCACCATTCACCAGCATCATTCGTTGGTTAGTTCCTGGGCGTAGTAAGGAGTACCAGTTAGCTGAGCAATTCACTTTACCAAACTCTACACCCCTTCCTACTTCATGTCTAGGAAAATTCACGGATTATAAGCTTTTCACTTTATTGCAAATGTATGCATTGATATATATTTATACATATATTTACAGCAGCATCAAGCGGCGCGAGTCGAAACACTAATAGAATTTTCGGTTCAAATAGGGTTCTTGCAAGAGACGTTTCTATTAGAAAAGTTTCACTTTAGGACTTTTTCATCTTTTATGTATACATGTAATTTCTGTGAATGATAACAAATTATATTTACGGAATCTTGTTTGGACTTGTTTTCAATGGAAATTTTGGACAATAATTATTACATAATTGTGAGCAGAGGAAGAAAAAAAGCGTCTCGAACAGAATCGTAAAAAAGTTAGATTATAAGGTTCTGCATGCCCCATTGGAAGACATGCGAGATTATATGCATGTACGTATGTTGTAACTAACGAACACTTTAAAGGCAGGAAGATTCTATAATCAATTTAACGTTAATCCGTGTTTCATTATACTGGAAATCAATCATTCTATCAATATTTGCTGTTGTAGAAAAATATTGCGCTGCATTGAAAAAAGTCGTGAATATAAGGAAAACATGTAAGTATGTAACTGAAATCATACGGAATTTCTTTCCGAATTTAACAACAAAAGAAACATTGTACCACGTCGGATTTATTTTATATTTAATAGCTCCTAATTCATATTTTGTGATAATTGTTTGCTTTGTTTTATTTTCGTGTGTGTGTTGTGTCTCACCAATGCCTTACCAATGTCTCATTTATTTTGTATTTAGTAACTCCTAGAATTAATTTGTATTTTGTAACAAATTGCTTTCGTGTGTGTGTACACTTTGTATCTTCCTAACAGTCAATGTACTATTGAACATTAGATTATTATTAGATTGTTGTTTGAGTCTTCGTGGCATCTTTGGTTCACATTTCAATTGCCCTTCCTTATTATCGCTTCATATTTGATTGTTACTGTTAAAAAGTTTATATTTTTGTTGTTGTTATATCGTTTCAGGTAATTTCTTCGCAATCGGAAATGTCAATCGATTCCCTCCATGTAAGTATAATTTTTATATTATTTTTAGTATTAATGTTAGGAATTTGTATAAGTTGTTTTCATATGATGTACTTGTTAGTGTTTTTTACTTAAACATTGTTATTTCCTAAAATTGACAACTGTATTCTCTAGGGTCAGTGCCTTCCGGTTATAAAGCAATTTCAATTATTTTCACTGACTCATGTGATTTTCCTGTTTCAATTATGTTCTAGCGTAATAATGTGTACACAATGGGTTTGTTTTTAAAACCCATTGCATTCGCATTTATCAATTATATGTTTATCGCCAGTACTTGTTATTAAGAATAATAAAATGTTTCGCTTCCTGCAGCGTGATCAAAAAGTTCATTCATTACTCCTCGTGTCGGATCGTCTCCTATCGCGTCTGCTCTTGATAACAATTTCTCCATCTATGTGTGCTCTACATCTGTGTGATAGTTTCAATGAGTCTGTAGTGTGTTTTACTAACGATTACTATTGTCCTTGTTCTTACTTTATTTTCGTTTTTCTAGGGTTACTATTTTTTGTATGTTACTATTGACTGTTCCACCATATAGGTGGTGATCTTGATTTGGGTAATTTATGCATCGATATTTTCAGTGAAGCTCAATGCGTTGTTCTGTGGTTTTTTATGAAGTTCTTGTCCATATAAGATTTTCATTCAGAAACGTATCTATTTTCTCAAAGCATTGCGTGCCTTTTAAAGGAAAATATAGTGTGTTTATTAATGCAGTTGCAATGTGTGGTGTTTTTATATTGTTTATCAGTTTCGGTGTCGCGTGTGTGAGTATTTGTGTGTTGTGCGGTGCTGCAGCGGTGTGCGTGCGCGCGGTACGTGTGTGGGTGTTCCTGTGTCGGCGAGCCACGGCGGATCGCGGTCGGCCGCCGGCGCCAGTCGAGTTCTGAGCGCCGCGGGGCTGCCGCGCTCTCGTCGCGTAAAGCCCTAACTCGCGATCCCAGTAACTTTGTCCACTGGAAACTTTTCAACGCATTTTCGGCCGGATCCTCGGTTCGCGCATCGCTATTATTTAGAAATCTGAGTCGCTACGTAGAGTGTCGCGTGCGAGCAATTATGCATACACTGTCGCGCGTTTATACGAGTCGGTCGGTCTATTTTTGAATATTCTCTAAACATTTCACGGCGAAGTTTTCGAAACGCAGCCGGAGTCGGGTTAACGGCCGCAGCGTGTGCAGCACGCCTGCATCACATCTCTTGTGTTTTTGTTGACGGATAACATTTGTGTTGTTAACCTCCCCTGTTGAATCCGAGAAACCTTATCTGTAAGTATGACCCCGGTTGATTTATGTATGATACTAGCTGTTTGTTTAGGTATATTTTGCCACATGTGCAAATGTATGAAATTTGAGTCTTTTTAGGCGGCCATTTACGCATTTTTTTAAATGTTGATTATCCAATATTACATTAGTTGAGGTATCGATTCAGTGAACAGAAACTTATTTTCTAGTGAAACTACAAACAAAGTTCAACGTTGGTATCGTATCGATGACCACCCGTGCATGTGTTGAGTGAGACCACATCATGTATGTACATGTACACAATCGTAAATATCTAGCGACGTACATACTTGTGTTCTGTTATGTACCTACTCGTGTGTACTAATATACGCAAGCACTTTATTACTTACGAGAATCTTATGGCCTTTGTATACGAGTTTATTGTTCTGTACAACACTACTCACTCACTCTTTGAATAAAAAAGTTCTATATAACACATTTTAATAATTATCATGACTAAAGACATGTTTCGTTCTTTCTAAAGGCAACGTAGCCCGTGGCTGTTTTTGTCAATTGTTGATGAGTTTAATGTAAGTTGTAAAGTTTATAGCTTATTTCCACATACCACATTTCTTCCGTGCTTATTTCTAAATTTATGTTCAATTTAGTCACCAGAGGGCACTGTTTAATTAGATTTTAAATAGAATTTTATTTCTATTTATTAGAATCACAACTGCCGTAATAATCACACAGCTTAATAAAATTTCACATTTAAAAGTGCCTCCTTATCCACTTTACAGACGACCACGACCAACGTGACGTTGCTTTTCTTCCGTCAATAATCCTATAGACTCAAACGGCTTCAAGTTACCTTTTCACAGAAGCACAACGCTAATAATAGAATCCACCTTTTTGGAAACTTTAAAGTTGTATAGATCAGTTGGTTTAAACAGATTATTCAAAATGACACAACGTGCATTCTGTGCTTACATACACTAGAATTAGGACTATATGATTTTAAAATACAATAATATACTGGCAGCGATCTGCTTTATACGGCTACTTTAATGCTTTAGTCAAGGTATCTGCCATCCCTAGGGTCGCCGAGCTGGTCCATAATTTTTTTGGGCGTCGTTTTATACAAAATATTGAACTAGGACCCACGGACCTGAAAGAATTGACAGAATTTCAACTGAAACGTACGAATATGTTACTGATGGTACCTTTAGCTTTTTATTTTCAGCTCAGCTGTGGAGCCATTCCATCTGCGGATATTTTAGAGTTAAAACAGGGCCAAAGTTTAGACGCAGGTAAATTGAAAACACCTTATCCATCTTCACAAAAAAACATATTTGTTTAAGCAGTTTAAACAAGTATGTACAAATATTTACAACATAATGTATTATTTATGACGTTGCATATTGTGCTATCTAAATGTGATGTTTGCTCAACTTAACCTGAACAATTTTAACCTTAGATTTGATTATCGGCAGTTTGTTTTATAACTGTACCGTTTCACACACGATTGTCGTTCAGAATGGTACAAAAAGCTGCACAAGTCATGACAGGATACAGTATAGGCCTAGTTTTAGTACCGGTGAAGGAATTTTCTATTACTAATGATAATAACAACACAGATTTTCCATAGATAAGGATCAAATCAATGTCCTTCCATCTAATTGACTTTGTCTAGTCTTTAATACAGATAAAAAATATAAACGATTGGAATAAATAATTACGCAAAACTTGATAAGCACCTGACACTATACAACAAAACAGGAAAATCCTATTTTTTATGATCTGGCTTATTATTTGTTTTTGGTAACGGTTTCTAAATTTTTGCAATAAAAGAAAAGTCAGTATGTAACCATTAGTGGCTACTAGGTTCTTTTAGAAAAGCGGTTTTAAATATGCTTCGAGAGGAGGAAACCTTTTTGCTTAAGAAAAATATAGACAGAATCAAATAATGAATTTGTCCGAAAAAAATATCTTTAAATCATGTTCATTAATCAATCAGGGCATTTTTCGGGCACAATGAAGATAAATTATGTTGGCTATGTTCAATAATTTATTAAGCACAATGAATAGAATTAGTGGAACTTCCACAAAAGTGTTGCTACGGTAAAAGAGTTCATGTCTAGTAAAAGAGTTGATCTATTTTCATATGAATAAGGATTAATCAGGCTTTTGGAGCAAATAGCTTTTCTTGCTAATCAGGAACATTGTTGCTTTCTATTCTCTGCTTCTAGGTATTGTATGAAAGATTTAAAAGTAGCTTGTAGTCTGGTTCTGGCATATACATATTTAGTACGTCTTTATATTGAATTCGTTACGAATTTACTTAAAATATTAAACGAAATGACTATGTTTAAAATCTCAAACATAACGATAAATGTCGATAACCTCAAAATAATTATACATTGGGTTCTAAACATTTTTTTTTTATTGATACCAAGTGCCGGGACGAACAAGTCGTGCGCCTGGCGGTAAGCGACTTATCCACAACAGTTGCATTGTCAATCAGAGCTTTAAATTACAAAGAACTGAGAGGCACTACCACTGCTCCCGTCACCCTGAGACACAAACTGACAATTCCCATGTACCTGTAATTTCACCAGCACCCTTACCCTTCGAAACCGGAACGCAGTAGTGCTCGCATTACTATTTAGCGGCTGAAATGGATAAGGTGGCAATACTTTCCTGGACGACCTCTTTCACTAAGGAGCTCTACTGCTACTAAAATATGTTTATTTATATTATATAGATATTTCATTCATTTTTTTTTTCATTGTACCATAATACGAGCATTTTCGGAATCAACAAGGCCCCGTAATATTTCCTATGATGCTAGATGGAATTACCATCGTGAATAAACATTTCCAGATAGTAATATCCACCGAAACAACTAATAGTGACATGTACCGGATTTTAACCTGGACGATTTAGCTGGCAAATGCTGTTATGAAAGGATAAGAACTCTGCATAGACTATCTATTCTGAAACTATTCAAGACAATTTAGCGCGAGTGACAATTGACAATTTGGACCGGACTCTCGTTAATTGACTGAGCGATTAAGTTTCATTACTCAACGTTTGTAAATATTGATACAGATATTATTACTACGGTTCCCAGCAAATGCTACTTTGATGATCTTTCTATAATCCCTAAGCGATTTTTGATGGCTACTGCAACCATGAGGGTGCGAACGTCAATTTCTATTGAACTAAAATTTATTCTAGGAGTTTTGTTTGAAATTTCAGTAATTACAATGTAAACTTTACTCTTTGCAGGAACGACAACAATTAAGCAATTTCCTGAAAGTTTACTAGAAAACGAAAGTTATGTACTCGAATAATGTGACTCCGTTAAATATACTTTTGTTACAAATTTATAATAAATAGGATGTCACGGAAAACTTGGGTGTCTTTTGCCATATTTTCACTATTTCTACGGTTTAATGACATATTGTATTTTGCTTTGGGGAAATTCCGCGGACATTAATAGAATTTTTGTCCTGCATACAGAAGCATGCGGTTTAGGCAATTTTGAAACTGGGCCTATGAGAGAGAAGTTTAAAGAAATTCACTTTCTTAAACTTTATTGTAAGAAATTTTCATAAAAACTGTGTTAGGGGTAGACATAGGTAACACGAAGATAATAAAACAAAATGGCTGTCAAAAGACTTGTGTCTCTATAAAGACACAAGTACATTTAAGGGGCAATAAGATTCAAAACTTACTTCACTTTAATGTTGAAAATTAGCC